CTGCACTATCCCATTTTTTTTTTTTTTTTTTTGTACTTTTTACATCTACAGCCATTCTGTGACCGTCCATCAGAGAACTTGAGCTCGGTTGCATCATTTTCAGTCTTTAACAACTATCATCCTATAGCTGGAAGCTTTTGTCATCTAGCTGATTTAAGATGACGTTTTTTTTTTTTTCACTTGATCACATTAATTTAAATGAAAAAATCTGCGATTATTTATTCTGCCTCATGTTGTTCCAAACTGTACGACTTTCTGGCTTCTGTGCGATGCAAATGGTAAATTAATAAAGAATATCCTGGCCACTATATTTCACATACTGAAAGTGAATGAGGACTAAGCCAGTCAAGCTTCAAAAAAAAAAAAAAGGCACCATAAAGTCTCCTGAACAATATTTCAGTCTATTTCTCACACAAAGCTATCATATGGAATGTAAGACTGGGAATATTGTAAATGAGTCATATAGACTACTTTGATGAAACTTTTACATTATGGAGCTTTTGTGCTCTTTTTGAAGCCTGAAAGCATGTTCAATGTAAATGCATACAAAAGAGCAACCCAAATATCTTTGAAAATCACTCCTTTTGTGTTCCGTGGAAGAAAGATAGTTAGGTTTGGAATGACATGAATACATGGCATAAACTAATACTATAAAGCGTATGTTACAGATCCACATGGAAAACACTTGGTCCAATCATCCTCCCTTTTTTTGTTTGTCCCTCTGGATAAATTTAAGAAAATTGGATGTATGTTTTTTTTTTTCTCATTTTGCTTGACAGATAAAGAGGTGATTCAGCGAGGCAGGGTGATAGAGAGGGGAGAGCTGGCTGTCGGGACACAGCTGGTCCAGGTGATTCCTCCTGGACTCTTCTGGAGGTTTCACATTACGGTTCACCACCCCGAATATGTGAAGTTCAACATCTCACTCACACGGGATGCTCTGCTGGGCATCTATGGCAGGAGGAATATACCACCTACTCACACGCAGGTAAACACATGCAAACACAAATACAGAAAATATAACAAGTTCTTTCCTTAAGAGTGTTGCACATTGTTTCATGTGCTATACAGTATATTTATAATATGTCTGTCAATGTATTAAAAATGAATGTAAAATGAATTACAATCAATTAATCCCATATTGATATTTGCATATTGATAAAGCCCCTAAAGGAAGATAATTTAAAGAGTTCCTTGCCATTGTCACCTTTGGCTTACACATTTGGGGTTTAAAAGACAATCAATATTAAGTAAAATTATCGATTTAACTGCACTGACACTCAGGATAAGAAAAAAACTGACACTAACTTTGCAACAGTTGACACTGTTATTTAGGGATGCACGATATTATCGGACTGATATCGAAATCGGCCGATAATGGTTTTAAATGTAAATATCGGCATCGGCCCGATATGAAAAATAATGCCGATATGTCTTGCCGATAAGAGGAATGCGTTAACTCACATGTGCTCAGGGTATGCTAGTGATTTGATCACGTCAGCGGTGTGGCTCATTCTTGAAGCAAAGTTTTGTCTGAATGATTATTAGATTGACTGTTTTGGATCGCTGCATTTAATCTGTGAAAGCATGTACAGAATGACGCTAATAGTAATAGCACGTGCAGCGGCAGCCTCCCTCAGGTTCTAATGCCCGCTCAGTAAGGAGTTTTAATCTGTAGGGGGCGCTGTTGGCCTACTTCTAATTAAATTAAAAGTAAAATAGCCTACACAAATAACATTTAGACTATTTCTGATTAAATAAAGCAGTAATTGATGTCATAAAATAATGAGTATGTATTAATTTAAAGGTCAGAAGCTATAGCTTACATGAAAAAAAAAAATCACAAACATGACACTTGTAAATTAAATAATTTTATACTGATTTATTCATTAATGTGTAATATGTTTTATTTTTTTTTAACAAATCGTAAGCTCTAAATGATTTTCAGAATTTTTACAACTCTTTTGCTTTAGACCATGTACAAATGTTAAATCTTAAAATAAAATGTTAGGGTTAACCTTGCATCTTTCTGGGAAAAAAATGCAGCGATTGATATATAGTTTATTTATAGTTATTTTCAAAGCTTCAATGTACTGTCAAAAAACCTTCATTATTGTTTATTTAATTCTAACAAATAAGTTCTTGTTAAAAACTAACCAAAATTAAAAATATTTTGCTTATAATTTCTGCACAGGAGAGGCTTGGTGTTGTTTCCAAACAAAAGGAAATATATCGGTATCGGTATCAGCCAAGATTAGTTTAAAAATATCGACATATCGGATATCGGCAAAAATCCAATATTGTGCATCCCTACTGTTATTCAAATGATTTGAGCTGACTAATGAAACTGTTATCTTCTCTAAAGCGTCTTATAGCTGAATTGAATTCATTTTGTAATTGATGAACTTTGCAACATTGACAGTTATTGAACTAAATTGAAACAACAGTGAACTAGCTGAGCTGAATAATGACACTGTTGTCTTCTGTAGAGCATCTGAAATTTAATTTGTTTCATAATTGATTCATTTTACAACATTAACACTATTTTCCTGTTTATTAATGTGATGCTGCTTTTAAATGATTTGTGACTTGACTTTACATTGCTGTGGCAAACGAGTAAAGCACTGAGTAAAAAATTATGAAAGTAGCATTTTAAAATATATTCCTTATTTTATTTACAGATTATTAAACATTAATCAGCTGCATCTCACACCATGAGCTGTGTGAAGTTTAAAAGTAGTTCAACTTTGAAACCCGTATCTCGAGACCCCTGTGTTTGTATTCTTTTGTTCTACAGTGTGAAAAATGTGCACAAAACCAGAAATTGTATATAAAATAATACTAATGTATAATAAATAATTATGTGTTTGTGTAAGACGGCATGTGAGAGAGTGTGTTTGTGTGTTTGAAAGAGAGTGTGTTATCAAACTTGTGCATCCATGCCCAGGTTTCGTCACGATTGCTCGTGTTGGTAAACGTTTTCTAAGTACATATTGTTATGACTGGCAGATAACAAGGAGGATCAGGAGCGTATCTAACGAGGTACTTCAGATGACCCCAAACATGCTAATTACATCTCATTATTCAGGAAATCATCTGAGATTAACTGTTCACTTTGCTCAAGAAATTAGAGCCCGGTGTAATTCAATTTAAGGCTTCTCGTTTTCGCCTCATTTGAATACGCGCTCGCATATGTAGGCGGAGGCAAAGCAAGAAGACTGGTTAATTGTTCCTGCTTAATGAAAAGCCTTCTTTTGTGCGTGCATGTCAGAATAGAGATGTTTACACTGCCACAGCTTCTGCGGGTTTACTTCGGCGCGCGTGCGAGTGTGTGTGTTCACTGAGGACTGACAGATCGCTACTGCACCGAGACTGTCAACTCCATTGCGGCTCCCATGATCGTTCCTCAGTTTCTCTGGCTGTCGTTAAAAGCAGTGGGGCTCTGGTGCAACTGCTGCCCTGCTGGCTCCTGCCTGTCAGCGTGAGAGTCATTACAGTCGATAGGGCTTCAGTGCCTCCACTGCTTCCAGAGTGACTCCGGAGGAGGAGAGGGACTCATTATAGCCAGAGGGTTCTGTAGTGCCTCGGAGAATGCCGCTCATTGATGTTTCTGATGTTTGTAACAGCTCTGTCTAAACACTGGCAATCCCCCCCCAAATACAGACAGACAGACACACACACCACGTATCTTTTCCAGTTTCCTTGGAGATAGATTCATCCCACTTACGGGATGGAAGTGACACAGTGGTGCGAGGTGATGAGACAGACGCTGAACACAGATATACTGATCGCCGGCTAAGTCAAACGAGCACAGATGTGAGCTGTAAACGCCTGGATGTGAACGTCTCCCATTTGCAGCGACTCTTGACTTGATCTGGACTCTGTGTGTGTGAATGTCAGCGTGTCTGGCCGTGTTTGCTCAAACTGCAGGCCTGTGTGTGTGTGTGTGTGTGTGTGTGTGTGTGTGTGTGTGTGTGTGTGTGTGTGTGTGTGTTTGTTGGA